TTTTTTTTTAAACACAAGTGCCAGGAGCTGGGGCAGCCATTGCTGGGCTGGGAGAGGGGTGGCTTGGCCTGACTGATTTGGCCAAATCGAATTCGGACAGTGATTTGAATCACCAGATCAAATCACTGTCCCCTGAATCGGCCGAATCCAAAGCGAATACTAGCTGCTTTGCACAGACCTACTATTAGGCTCAAAGGATGAGTCATGATCTGGCAAGAGTATTACAATCACTGCACACTGCCCAGCTTGCAGTGGAATGAATGGACAGAAGGACCAGGAAGCAGCACTGCATTACAAACACTTTTTCTCATGTTAGAACAGAAGGTATTCCTATTCCTATTCCTGTCTCTGGTTGTTACATCCCAGGGTCCCAGCTTTTTTATCATAGCATCAGGTTACTATCAGGAGCTTGTGTTAGTTTGCTTGACCAGTGTAATTCTAAATACTTTTCAAAAGTTGTTCCTTTCAAAGATGCAAACCTCTACTCCGTAGGTGCAGCCTTCATTCTTTATTCTTGGATGTATAACTCTGTACAGAACTGTATTAAAAAACTCTTTTTTCTTAATGGGCCCAGGTTGCCAAGTAATCTAGAACACTCTGTGCAACTGCCCTAACCTTATCTTTTACCACTCGGACAGTTTATTTTGCATCCACTTTAAGTGTGAAACTTTTTCACAGGAAAAAATTCCTGGTAAGAGATAATATTTTACTAAACATTAGGAAACTAACAAAAGTTAGTTCAAAACATCTAGTTTTAAAAGCATATACATAGCAATCCTAATTAATTCTAATTAGATGGATTGATTAAATATTAATTAATTCTGATTAAATTAGTTCTAATTTAAGATTATTCAGTTTTTAAAGCATAATTTTTATAAACCTTTGATTGTATATTTCTCCTTTCCTGACTAGGAAAGCTGCACATAAGAAATGCAGCAGTATGTGGTTTAAATCTGAGCTCCTGAAATGAACTAGAAAAGTTTGAGAGAATTTGTTGTGTTTACATCTGAGCCATCTACTAATACCTGCTCAGACACTGGCTAGATTCATCACAGATAAAGCTTCACTGATGTCCCCTCCTCCTGAATTTGTCTTTAGGTGCCTCCGTATTGATATAGGTGCTGGTTTAATGTACTGACATTCAAACAGTAGACCTAAGTGACTTACCGCATTCCACACTGTCCATCACTGAGACTGTTGGGATTAGCAGTCAGGATTCTGGAGGTGAGTAGACTGTCCAACTACACAATTGCTAGAGCAGTGGTTTGTGAACCATGTGCTCTCTCTCTCCTCATTTCCAGCTGCTGTTACAATTCTATTTTTTTTAACACTGAGGAAGGCCTTGAAGCCTGAAATGCAGCCACCAGTTTTGCTGTCTTTATTAGTACCGGTTGCTGTAGAAACAGAATGACACCAAAGCATGGACTGGAGCTACCAGCTAAACAACTAACAATCACTAATGAGTTTCTCAATATTTTTTCACTGTAAGCAATTGCCATTTTTGTCCTGGGAATGTTGTGTACATGCAGATGGAAGAGGGAATTCCCACAAGATATTGTAAAAGAAGATATGATCCAAATCTCACTGTTTATTGTCTTGGGGTTTCCTTCAGTAGAACACTTTAGTTCACAGACACTGTGACAGGGGAAAATCTATGGCAAAGGAGACTTTAAATTCTCTTTCATTCAAAATGTAATCCTCTAAACTTGGCAGCTGGTACATAGAAGAAAAACCTTCTAGCCAGGGAAGCTGGCATTTCAGTATTGACTTCTATAATTGACTATAACCAAAAAGGAGAGTACAAAGATAGCGAAAATATTCAAGCCCTGGCCTCTTTCAGTTTACTCTGTTACTGGTTTTCTCTTCCCATTGACAATGTTTGTGATTCTTTCTCTTTTATTGAACCCAAAAATAGCAGGACTGAGCCCCAGGGACGGCCGTGATGTCCCCTGGTGGCCTTGTGACTCCTGTCCTGCTCCAGCTGTCCGGGTCAGGACAGACCTCTTTCCTTTCCTCTCTCTTGCTTGCCATACTTTGCTGGTTGTCATGGGATGGGGTCCCCAGGGATGGCCATGACACCCCTAGGGCTCTTTGTCTGTGTCAGTCTTGCCCAATGGACACCCTTTTCCTCACCTGCCACATCTTGCTGGTAATTATAAGAAATAGGGAGGCTGCCCTCAAGTTTGTGTTTGGACACAGTCCTGATATATCCCACTGAACCCTGTGGGTTCTTGGACCCCTTTTGGGTCCTGCTCAAAATGGATGCCTCACGGGACACTCTCAGCCTTATGGGCTAGATGCGTGGCTCCAAAACCACCCCTTTAGCATGCCCCAAGCCTCACAGATGGTATTTAAATGTTGTCCCTGTGAGGCCTTAGTCTAGTTCAGCTCTCCTCAGCCCTGTCTCTGTGCCCACACTGGTGCTGGGGTCCGCTCATCCCTTTGTCACTGCGCCCCCTGGTGCTGCACCTGCTGGTGCTGGGGTCCCCACACTGTAGTGTGCCCCAGTGAGGCCTCCTCCTCCCCCAATAGCCTCAGCCTGGTTCATCAGTTTATAAACAGCAACCAAAACATGAGCCCCTGGGTCAGAACATAATACAAGCAGTTCAGGGCATGCTCTGTCCCTTTAAAAGAGTCAAACTTCCCCCCCAGCACTAAGTGCCTTGTAGGCCAGGGTACCTGGTGAGCTCCTGGAGCCCCATTAGGCCTATATGCAGCATATCAGGTGGCCACCAGCATCTCTGGGCAATTCTTCCCTGGAGGCTCCTTCCCCTGGCTGCTGCCAGCCAGAGAACGAACTCCTGCTGGACTCAGCCCTGGAGTTCATATGTGCCCAGAGCCCTGCCTTCTTCCGGTCAGCTGACCAGGTCCAGGTGCAGGTCCAGGTGCAGGCTAATTCCCTTGTTAGCCTGCTGCCATAGTAACCTGCACCTGTGGGGGTTCTGTTTGGCTCTTAGGGCTCTCTCCTTAGGCAGTTTCTGCTCTTAAAGGAGCAGGCACCTTAGTGCCCTGTGGCACTGGTATTATTTATGAGGAAAAAGGGAGGTTGCCCCCAGGGTCCCAGAGCAAGCCTTGGTCTTCTACTAGTCTGTGGGTTCCCCCTGAACCCTGCTAATCCCCAGCCTGCTGACAGGCACTAGGTGGGGTCCTCCCAGCCCATCCGTACTCTAGCATGTTTAATTGCCTTAAGGGCTAATTTTGTGGTCTCTGACCTCCCCTACAACCACATCCATACCTTATGGAAGCTATGGGTCATAACTTAGGTAGGGCAGTCTGCTTTCAAAACAGCACAATCTAGTGCACTAATATTAGTCTACTGGTTATAATGCAAACTGTCCTCACACAGGGTCCAAACATAAACCTCAGCTTGCTGGCTGTACAGCAAAACTTCCCCCTACTCTGAATTGTATTCTTCTGCAGGCCCTCAGTGCCTTCTCAAGGCAGCTTAGCTGTCAGCCACACACTCCTCTTCAGGCTTTCTGTTTAGGAGCTTCTCTCCCTGCCATGTGCAGGGCCAGACTGACTGCCTAAATACTAAATATTACTCTGTCAACCTGCAGAAATCAGTGTAATTCTCAGTAATGCCTCCATTTTTCTTTGCAGTAAGCCTCCATTCCTCCATGCATAAACTTCCCTTTATTTTTAGATTTATTTTCCAATTATTCATATCCACAACATAATATCACAGTGCCTAAAAAGAATTTAAATTGTTTCAATGACTCTTGCCAGTAGTGCACTACAAACCTATGGCTGCTTAGACATTGGCACCCTAGCAAATACAAATCAAACGCAAAAACGCAAATTAAAGAGGCATGTGTTACAGAGTGTCTTAAAAAGAAGTGTGGAGTATCACGGGGGAGAGTCAGGAACTGTGTGAATCTGAACAAATCATTATCCTCTCTGTGTCCCAGTTTCTGTCACAAGGCATGATAACATTGCCCAACTTCACCTGGGTGTTATAAACGTTCATTGGTTAGTATCAGAAAGTCCTATGTAAGTGTAAATATTATTATTTCAAAATGGAGAGCCCTCCACTAAAAATATCAAGCTATCTGGACTCAGAAATTCTACTGGGATGGCAGACTGTCAGTTTTAGAAATTAAGGTATATATCTGGTGATTCCAGAGTACAGCATGCTCTCCTGGGCAGAAAAAAGATGAAATAGAAACAAAGATACCAGTAGATGGCAGACACTAGTGAATACATACCAATAACAAACAATTGGCACTTGGAATCATATATCTTCTCCAGTCCGCTGCTTTTCTTGTGTTGTATAATACACACATACTGCCCTTCATCCATAATCCCAACATTTAGAAGACACAGAGTCCATGTGTTCATATCCATCTTTGTGCGATTTATGTACTTAGGATCAAGGTAGTCAGATAGCTCTTCGCCACGATATACCTCATTCACAACCTCTGACTCCTTTTGCCAAAAAACTATCAGTTCCTTCACATCAATGTTGTCAGGATTGTGAAAATTACATTGTAGGTATGCAGTATGATTGACAAATGCTTTCTCCTGAAGCATGTTGACAGCAGTACCTTAGAGTGAAAAAGAAGAATCAAGCTTCCAGAAATGAGAGTAAGCCCCTGTCTAGGATCTGCTCCCACCATGGTGAATGCCATGAAAGTAGGCTATAAAGCCTCCAGCACTCAGGTATCTTCACACCAGCACGTGGGCTTTGCCAAGGAAACCATTCTGGGAAAACCAACACCTACCTCACTCTAGTTACATGTTGGTGAAGTGAGAACAGCATGAGTTCACTTTCTGTCTCTGCCTCCCAACTTCATGAAGGTGTTGTAAAGCCAAGTAATAAGACTTGTAAAAAGACTATTATTCTCATCTGAAGAGGAGCAAATATGAAGTTCTGTTCATCTCTGATGTGATTCTCTAACTGTGCAAATGTTTACATAGCTACAACTGGTTTTAAGAAGACAGTTAGCTGGGATCTATCATTTCAGCTTCCTTTTCATCCAAATACTCTAGCAATAGTGTTTATGAATTAAGTACAAAACTGGATTTGAGCCAAGTGTGTCTGATTCAGTGATGTTGCTCTAAGTCTTTAGATTGTACAAAACAATAGTTCTTAGAGATATGAACTGCTCCTGTCTAAGTGGGGCATCCACCTGGAGTCTAACAACAGGTTAAACATTAGGGCTGTGCGAAGCTTTGGTCCCTGATTTGATTTGGCGAAGATTCGGCCCAATTCAGTGGCCGAATCTCTGAATCTGAACTGAATCAGAGGACCCTGAATTGAATCAGAACCCTCCAAATTGATTCAGAGAGCTTTGGAAAGATTCAGTGATTTGGACATAGACACAACTTTAAATGTTTTTTCTACATACCTCTAGGTAGCAGGCAGCTCGTGAACAGTGCAATGGTGGGGTGGATGGAGCGTCCCACGGGAGTGCAGGGGGCTTCCCAGCATTCTCGGCAGCAGACCCAGAAGTGGACTGGAAGCACTTCCTGTCCACTTCTGGGTATTCCGGGGAGCACGCGGGGGGGCCCCTGTGCCCCCTTGGCTCAGTGACTGGTGTCTCCTGGGACTGGGGGGGCACCCGGGGTCCCCTTGTGGCCAATCACTGAGCCAGGGATGCAGGGGGGCCCCCAGCACTTTCCCCGGCGGACCCAGAAGTGGACCGGAAGTACTTCCAGTCTACTTCTGGGTTCACTGCCGAGCATATTGAGCCCCCCCTGCACTCCCGTGGGACGCTCCATCTGCCCCAGCATCACAGCATTCATGAGCCATGCTGGTACCTCGAGGTATGTATAAGAAACATTTAAAGCTGTGTCTGTATCTGAATCACTGATTCTCTGAATCAGCATTGAATTTTCAGATTCGGCTGAATTGAATCAGGGACAGTAATCTGAAACAACGAACCGAATCACTGTCCCTGATTCGGGCCAAATCTGAATCGAATAGGGCCCACTTTGCACACCCCTATTAAACATCCACTCAATTTCACTGCCAATCATTTTATCAGAAATAGCTAGCTGGTGGACAAAAATTGTTTGCACACCTATAAACTGACTTTTGTTGAGTTACTCGTGGATTTACGTTGCTAGTTACAGTATGCCTGATGTTTCTCTCACTTCAACAAGTTTATCTACCATTGTTGGATATAGTGACAGATACTGAGGGGAGATAGCTGCTGTTAAGTGTTACTGGAATATGTAATGGAATGGAAAGTGTTACTCTGAATGTATAGGCAGAAAAGGTTCTTTGGATAAATCTGATATCTTTTATTAGACCAACTCAAATAGTTGGAAAAAATATAAATACCCAAAAGCTTGCAAAGAAGAATTTTTCCAACTATTTGAGTTGGTCTAATAAAAGATACCAGATTTGCCCAAAGAACCTTGTCTGCCTATGTCCTTAAACCAACACAGCTACAACCTATACCCCTGTAACTCTGAATGTATAGGCACCTCTGCCCTGCCTGAAAGGAGGAGGGAAACAAGAGATGTATCTTTTCCCAGGAACCGAAAGGCTGAACTGCCTCATGGATAACAAACCAAACTCTCACTTCCTAAATGCAGCCTCAGTTGCCACAGTTCAGAGACCAAGACTTCTAGCTTCACCCTGACATTTGCTATGATATAATTATTCACCAATGCAAACTTCTGAGACATGTTAAAAATGAAAAAGTAAAAGCAGCACAAAATGATTTTGACATAAAAATATATGATCCAAGTGATACTGAGGCTCTGCCACATAATTTAGATATAATGTTTCACATAGAATAGGTGGATTTGATTTTAAAACTGAAATCATAAAAAGTATGTTTGGAACTGGTGGGAGCCCAGCAAATGTAGCTAGTCAGCACAGTCTTAACAGAAGACTGGAAGAGGGCCAATGTGATTCCCATCTTCAAAAAGGGGAGGAAGGAGGACCCGGGAAACTATAGGCCAGTTAGTCTTACCTTGATCCTGGGCAAGCTTTTTGAGAAAATTATTCTGGCGCATATCCACGAGGGGCCAGCAGGGGAGATCATGCTTAGGGGCAACCAACACGGGTTCATTAGTGGCAGGTTCTGTCAGACCAACCTGGTGGCCTTCTATGACCAGATCACCAAATCCTTAGATGCAGGGGCAGCAGTGGACATAGTCTTCCTGGACTTTTGGAAGGCCTTTGACACTGTCTCTCACCCCGTTCTCTTTAAGAAACTGGGGGCCTGTGGTGTCGACACCCACGCAGTCAATTGGGTAGCTAACTGGGTGGAGGGCTGCACCCAGAGAGTGGTGGTGGATGGGTCATTTTTGACCTGGAGGGATGTGGGCAGTGGGGTCCCCCAAGGGCTCGGTCCTCGGGCCCACACTGTTCAACATCTTCATCAGTGACTTGGACGTGGGGGTAAAAAGCACCCTGTTCAAATTTGCTGATGACACTAAGATATAGGGGGATGTGGGCATGCTAGAAGGGAGGAATAGGCTGCATTCGGACCTAGACAGGTTACAGGGG